TATATAAGTTTTTCTTTTGAAATAGGTACAGTTAAGTATCCATTGATAAAAGTATAATTTCATAGCAAATTAGCGATAATCAGAAATTATTTTAAAAATTTTCCGCGTTTGGAAATAAAATAATATGCATAATTACATATTTATATCATGTGCATTTGCATACTATGTCTGTCAAAATAACCTTTGCAGTAACATTGCGATATTGTTAAAATTTTCAGAAGGATGCAGTAATTGGTCAGAGAGAAGGTTTTAGCACGGCAGACTACCAGAAGATCAACAAAATGTATAAATGTGCAAGCAAAATGTAGATATAATCGGCTTTTGTGTCAATACTAATGAATGGATATGACTTTGTTAATATTTTTAATATTAACAGAAACTGTAAATTAAAAACATTTAATAATAATCTATAATGTATTACGAAGAAAAGAAGAATATTTAATATTGTGTATAAAACTTATAATTACCTTTTTCTACATCTCTTCTCCTTTTTACTTTGACAATTAATTAATGTAATTAATATTTTTATATGTTAATATAATCGTGATTATAATATCATAGATGTACGTGTGCATCTGCTTGTTTGTACGAATTTACAATATTTTATAATTTATAAGTATATATTTTCTATATATTTAATTATAAAAAGTTCTTTTCTTTTTTTACTATTTTTATTAATAATCATTGTCTGATTGTGTGATTTTAGAAATATAAACAAGAAATGAGTAGATTAAAATCTAATTCGCTCGATAAAGGAAATCGTTATTTACATATCCTAAATCGATGGTATATTTTTAAAGAAGTGTAAGATGTTTCTTAATTAATTAATTATTTTTTATGCGTATATCAATTTTGTCTTATTCATAATTGCAATAATTGCGATAGAAGATTGTTCACAAAGCAACGCAAAAAAGTATATCGAGAAGATAGTATTTTTCCGATAATTTTGAAGTTTAAATATGGATAATAAATATATATTTTTTTAAATAATATCTGTAGAATATTTACATTATCTTGAGATTTCTCAAGATAATATAAACTGTAGATGTAATTTGTAGAATTTTTTTCATTATTTCTGATTATCTCTAGAGTGCTCGTGTTAAATCTGATGGTATTCATTAATATATATTACTGATGGCGTCCGGTATTGACGGTATAGATAAGATTGTATTTTATCTATTCCATTGACATTCCATTGACTATTAATTGTTATTTTAGTTTTCATTTTTTCCACTACAATATTGCCTCTGACCTTGACGTAATCATTTTCCGTTTTCAATTTAAATTTAATGCGTACATATTTACGATAATCGTACGATAATCATGTTTGTCGCAATGTTTTACCCTAGTTTATCTACAATACACATTGAATTAAAAGTACAGTTAAAATAGAACAATTTTAAATAACGTAGCCTTCAAACCTCGAGCAGCGAACTATGTACTTGATATAGACAAAAAAAATTTTTTAATCATATTTTTTATGTATATTTATGTCAAGAAGCGGAATATTAATATATCAGTAATAATATAATCGATTTTTATAATAATCAAATTGATTATAACTATTTTATGCATTAAACTGCCTATAAATATAGCTTTGTTATCTAAAAGTATTTTTTTTAAATTAAAATCTAGTTTAATTGTAAGCATATGTAACGAAATATAAAACAAACATAATTGATATTTTTTATACATGTCTTTTGCGAAGTATAAAATACATCAGACTATATTAGATTAATAAAAAAATTAATTACAATAATTTAACACATTTTTTCCTCTGAATTTTATATTATTATTTATATCCCATTGTATATACATTGTATTTCTTTTTATCATTGTCCAGCTTTGCGGCTTTTACGTATTTTAAATAAATTTTAATGTTCCAAGAATATAAATTGACCTTTTATTTCAAAACGTCATTTTGTTAAATATTACAATTATTAGGATAATTAGAGTGCATCGTCGCAAACATTTTCATTTTTATTGCGCATTAGAACAGAACACGTGTAATGATACCGCCTACTCTACACTATCGTTAATTTTAAGATGCTTCCTGTTTTAAAAACATATAAACATCAAGTATTAGGTGTATGCAAAAGTTTTAGCTTTTTTTTCAGCGCTTTGACGTAATTATTTAAATGGTATTTTGGTAAAATGAAATAGATTCCTGCTTGTTTGCGTTTTTAAAGAATAAAAAAAAAACAGAACAGACCATTTACTGGAAAAGTAAACCGGAAGATTATTTTGCTACATGATAACGTTAGACTGCATGTTACTTTTCATATCTAGCAAACTATTTTTAATTTGAGCTGGAGAGTTTTTCTGCATGACGAATTCACCAGACTTGGCGCCTTTGAATTATCATTTATTTTAATCGATGCAACATTCTTTACTAAGAAGTGCTTTTTTTCGTAAAGGAATTCGAAATTTACTTGAGAAATGGCAGAAGATCAAGGATAAATATTTTAATGATTACATATTATTACAATATTATACTTATTATTAATATATAAAGTACTAAATATTGTTACGATATTATACTTATTATTATATCCTTATTAATAATCCTTATTATATTATTGATCTAAAACAAAAACGTGCAAAAAAAGACTAAAACTTTGCATCTAAATGTTTTAAATACAGCTTATTTAAAACTGTATACCAAAATTAAAAAAACACATTTATAGATGTTATATGTACATAAAAAATTTATAAACAAATAATTCATTATTAATAATTATATACGATAAATGAGAGTAATCACATAATATATGTTTATTATTTTTTTTGCAACGTTATGTAATTTAATTCTTATGTTAATCATTTTATATATAGTATTATTAGGTAATTAATATTTTATTAGAAACTTATATATATATATTATTTATATATATCGAGTAATACAATCGAGCGCATATAATTATATTATTGAGAACATAGAAACTGTCAAACAGAGGTCTGATTTACAAACATATAATATAAGTATATATAATAAACACTTCTGATAAAGAAGCTCCGTAATTAAAAAATTAATAGTAAATTTTAATATACGGTGCCGGTAATGATCTAATTAACATGTTTAATGAAATAAATCCGAGTCATTAAATTCATGTCGTTTTTACCGTAGTATAAAAGGTATGTATATTTCAAATGGAACTAATATACCGACTATAATCGTCGTAAATTAGCGTTCACGAATAGTACTTTCAAAATAATGTCCGTATCAGTCATTAACAAAGTGGCATAGGTGGGGCATGAAAATTATTGCGCCATAACATATAAAAAGGGAAGCGATCAGAATGACTATATTACTGCATTCGCTTTCACTGTCGTATGACCAGGTGAAAAAGTAACTTGCTGTAATTTGATTTAATGTCTATCATGTGTCGATTGTTAGTCGCTTTCACGTCGACGCTTCTCGTCCTCACAATAATTGAATCGGTGGGGGCGGGCACTTATCATCCTTATCATATTGATGAGTATATGACGGTACCGAATAACGAAACAGGAATCAAAGTAGCACAGTGGACCGAGGAAATGAACATGAACCCTGAGGAATTGGGTAACTACTTCGAGGGAGATATCATGATTTCAAACAGCACCACAAGAAACGGTGATACTAAAGCAAAGCGTTGGCCTAATCGACAGATTCCCTACGTAATTACTGGTAGATTCAGTAAGTATAATCTTTAGGAATAAAAATTCAGATATTCTGTACTATATCATGTCTTTCAAAATTAGCGAATTAAAATGTCTTTACTGTGCAAATTATATCAAATTTCCATTAATTCAATCGTTTCTGTTCATAATCTTTGCATTGCAGCTCAGAAGCAGAGGAATCTTATACAAGATGCGATGAAACAATATCATTCTAAGACATGCATGCGATTTAAAAAGAGGACGAACCAAAAGGATTATCTGGATATTCGAAGTGATAATACTGGATGCTGGAGCTGGATTGGTAGGAGAGGTGGTAAACAACAAGTGAACTTGCAAGCTCCTGGTTGTGTAAATGCGATAGGTACCCCGGTACATGAGCTCCTGCACGCCATCGGCTTTTGGCACGAACATACTAGAGAAGATCGAGATGGTTATGTGAACATCAATTGGAATAATATTCCAAAAAGTATGTGTTTGTAAGCTATAAATGTTCAAATAAGAAATAATTTGTTTAATTGAAATGTAAATATTCAATCAAAGCGTGTTTTATTTCTTTATTTATTAATATCTGAGATGTCAATTAGTTTTGTAATTAATATATTAAAGTAGCATATGCATATTTTAAGCGACAATATTCCTCTATCTATCTTATATCTGCATTTTGCACTTTAGAGAATCTCAAACAATTTTTTTTTAAACTTAAGAATTATTAATTGTAATATTAACAACGTCTTATTACGTTTAAATAACACTTTTCTATAACAAGTAAATTTGTATTAATTTACTGAGATTATTCGGTAGATTTGCATTATAAATTCTTATCTTTAAGATATATATTATATGTATAAATTTAGACCAACAGCATAATTTCATGAAGGCTAACAAGGGACAGACCACCTCTTATGGTGTCCGTTACGATTACGGCAGCGTGATGCATTATTCAGCATACGCGTTTGCCAAAAATCCCAAAGTAAAAACCATTATTACAAAGGTAAGAAGTCATTATTTTTATAAACCAACAGTATAATTTCGTGAAGGCTAACAAGGGACAGACCACTTCTTATAGTGTCCGTTACGATTACGACGGCAGCGTGATGCATTATGACAGCGTACGCGTTTGCCAAAAATCCCATACGTATATAGTCCTATATGTATATAGGATCGTAAGACGGTTGATTTCTTTGTTAAAGTAGTTTAATTTCTGGACGAAGATAGATACAAGCTATATATATCAATTCATCGTTCTGAAATAAAAAGAAAATAATTATACACAAGTTATTATGCGCGCTGCATCAAATGTATATCTATGAATGTGTATTTTAAACATATAAAAGAATAATTTTTATTATTGGATGTAATTTTTGAAATGTTTCAGAAACCAAAAAATGCAAAAATCGGTCAGAGAAGGGGCCTTAGCAATTCAGACATTACAAAGATCAAAAGAATGTACAAATGCTGATGTATGAGAGTAATTGGCATCTATGTCAAGGATCAGTACTGATGCAAAAAATGGCTTTGATAATGGCTTTCTGTATTAAAAATAAATTCTAAATTAAAAATATTAAAATTTGTTTTGTTACTAAGAAGTAAATAATACTTAGCATTGTGTATAAAACATGAACATATAAACCACGTCACTTTTTTTTCTACGATATTGGCGAACGTAATTTATAATTTCATTAAGTATTAATATTGATTAAATATTATATAATATTGTAAATGTATTATTGTGCTTCTCGTATACAAATAATAATAAACATTTATAATGCAGCATATTTTTGTATAAAGTTTTCTTTTTCTACCATTTTTTTTACTGATTATATACTCACTATTTGTTCAGTAATTTTGTTTATTAGTACAATAATATTTTCCACATTATCATCGATAACTGTTCAGCAATTAAGCGAGAATTACTGTAGTGGTCAATTTTGTCCGCCTAAAGTTTATATTTAAATAATCAAATCATTAATGTATTAATGCTAAAAACAATTATAAATATTATTATTTTATGTGTTAAGCGCATTCCAACTATTTAAATACAAGCATTTGTAAATAAAATTTGTTATAACTAAACAGCCTTTTTTTAAATACGTTATTTTAATAAAGGAGTTTTACTTTAAGTTATTATTGTTTAAAATTTATTATCTTTCTCAAATATAATTTTTTGCAATCAAATCTAATCTAAACATAGCGAAATATAAGACGATATCATAATCAACATTTTCTGTATATATCATATTTTAACTCTTATTTTTATTTTAAGCTCAATTCAACTCACCATTACGTATTTACACAAACATGAATTTGTATCTAAATTTATTATGATAATAATGATTTATGATTCTTAAAAATTGTAATAACTTAAGCACTATATTAAAATTAAACTATACAGAGTCAGCTTCAATAAAAACTAGTCTGTATAGTTTCGATAGAAACTGGATTCTCTGAAACATATATTATATATAATATTCGCGAAATATCATACACGTACGCATTTACCGTCTATTAGAAGATTATGTAAATCTCTCTTTATATCCTAAAAGTTTTCCTCTTACATATTGTAATTACTAATCCATACAAAATTACTTTAAAAACAAAATAATAAAGAACGCCGCCAATTGCTTGCGCACTCCGCAAGAAAATATTTGATATTAAAATCGCCAATTTGCAGTTGTCAGTAAAATTAGAAAATACGGAGCGGCCTCACTGTCTGTTTTTACGGTCGCATATGCTTGGCGTGAGACACTGCCGTATTTCTTGATAAGCGTAATTTTATAACCAACGCTTAAATACACATACTAATAAACTTAGATATTAAATTGTAACTTTGTGTCAATTTTTGTTTTTCTACAAATTATTAAATTTGCACAGTTTTACAAAAATAGAAATGATAACCAGGAAATAAAGAATAACTTTATGATGTATTCACTTTACAATAATTGCTTACAATCCTCACAAAGATGATGCCAATAGAACAATTGTCACGCCGTTAGCAATGAAATAAATAGGTATAACATAGCGTGGTACAATAAAACAAAAACTATGGAGTGTATAACAAAACGAAAATAAATGCATGGGAAATTTTACGTTAATATGTATAATATCAAACATAAAAGATGATGTTAGATTACAATAATAAACTAATGAGAGGAGAAATTTACAGATTTCCACTTAAATTTTAAAACCTCGTGATTTCCCTTTACAGAGACATCGCACTTGTTCCGATTCTATAAGGATAAAGTTCCTTGACCTAAAATAGAATTGACGATCGGCATTGCTTGTGCATGGAAAAAAACATTGTAGCGTCCTTTTCAGAACGTTAACCGATATCTGAGAGCGAAAAAAAGTGCCTACGATTTTCATGGGTTGCGCCACTGCGCGTACCTATGACTCCTATACGAGACAGTCTAATCCATGCATTTTTCCATACACCTCTCCTTTTCCAATTCTTTCTCTGAAAATTTTCTTTTAACAATTTAAATTCGGTGGTTGGACATTACATTAGGTTAATAAGAAAGTTAATCAAATTATTTGACACATTTTTTCTGACAATGAGTTTTATATATTAATGTCTCAAAAAAACGTATCTACATCGTATCCTTTTTTATTATTTCCACCAACTTTGCAGTTATTACGTGCTATGAATAAATGTTCATTGTTTCGTAAGAATACAGTTTGATATTTTGCAATAACATAATTTTGCTAAATATTACAGTTATTAAAATAATTAGAGTAACGTCGCAAACATTTTCATTTTTTTGGAACAATAGAAAATGTGGTAATAATCAATAATGTCAATAATATTGTTAATTGTATGCTTCCCGTTTTAAAACTTATTAACAATGCAGCTACCTGTTGTATATAAAAAATAAAAAATGCATTTATAGGTGTATATATATACAAAATTTATGAACAAATAATTTATGAGTAATAAATGAGAGTAATCACATAATTTTATGTTTTATTATTTTATTATTTTTTCTAACATTATAATTTAATTTTTATGTTAATTATTTAATATACAGCATTATTAAATAACTAGTATTTTATTAAAAAGTTATATAAATGTATTAATTAAGAGAAAACAATTATGTTTCTGATAACTAATTTAATATTATATAATTCAAAACATTTTATTTTTAAATATACACGTTTAATAAATCAGATATATTAATCACTTTTATAGATAGAAACTTTCAAACAGAGTTCTGATTCACAATACACAAATATCTAAATACGATACTTTTGATAAAGAAGTTACTATAATTCTAATAAAGTTATTATAATTCAAAAACTAATAGTAAAATCTTAATATACAGTGCCAGCAATTATGCAATTAAATTGTTCAATAAAATAGATCCGAGTCATCAAATTCAAGTCGTATCTTTTATTTTCACCGTTGTATAAATACATACATATATATATTACAAAGAAAAATGGATTAATGATCGGTGAATTAACGTTGCCTAATAGTATTTTCGACATGATGCTCGTATTAGTCAGTAACAATTAAAGTTGAATAGGAGGGGCATGCAAATTATTGTGCCATAGCATATAAAAAGGGAAGCGATCGGAATGACCGACTATATTACTGCATTCGCTTTTGCTGTCGTATAACCATAGCTGAAGAGGTAACTTGCTGTAATTTGATTTC